GCTCTACAGGGTCACTATGAGTCAGAATGACTAAATGGCAGTGAGTATTCATTTTAGGAGAAACTCAGTATCAGCAGATAAACCAGGCAAGGGACTAACTGTAGGGCAATATATATATATATATTCAGATTGAAGCTGAAAAAAATTAAAGCAAGTTCATATTACTACCTTCAGTATATCCCACCTGAATTTTGAGAATATCTCAAGAACACATTTTCTACATTGAACACTAATGACAGAAGACATGATGAGCTGTGGGAGCACATCAAAAACACCATTTATGAAAAAAGCAAAAGATCATTAAAAAGATCAGCGTCAATGTCAGGAAGACTCTGAAATTTGTAGAGTAGCTAAGGCAAATGCAAGAAATGATGAAGTCAAAGAGCTGAATAGAAAATTACAACAGGTAAGTTGAGAAGACAAAATATTATAATAAAATGTGCAAAGATCTTGGGTTAGAAACCAAAAAAGAAGAACATGCTCAGTATACCTTAAACTGAAAGAACTGAAGAAAATATCAAGTGTTGAGTTATAATATTGAAAGATTAAATGGACAAAATGTTAAGTTAAATGCAGGAAGAATCAAGAGAAGATGGAAAGAATATGCAGAATCACTCTACCAAAAAGAACTAGTTGACATTCACCCATATTGAGAAGTAGCATATGACCAAGAACCAAATAGTACTGAGAGGAGAAGTTCAAGCTAGACCAAAAGCAGTAGCCAAAAACCAAGGATCCAGCAATTAATGGAATGTGAATTTCAGTGTTTCAACAAACTAATGAAGCACTAGAAGCACTCCCTTGTCTATGCCAACAAATCTGGACAACAGCTAGTTGATTGGAGGAGGTCTGTATTACTCTGGATACTTTAGAGAATCAAATCCACAGAAACTCATTATAAGAGAGAATTTTATGTAAAGGTTAAGTGCGCATCAAGAAAACATCCCAACCCGGTGCTCCCCAAGCCCACAAATCCAACATTAACGTATTAACCCATGTGTCTAACACCAGTCCACAAAGTCCTCCTCCATCTCATAAAACAGACACAATGTCAATGGCAGGAGGAAAGCCGAGTCAGTGAATGTGTAAGCATCTCAGCACTGGCAGGGGTCTCCACATGGCTGCTGCAGCACCCAGGGCTGCATCGGGGTAGGTCCATGCGGTTTCTCCTAGGGGATGTCTTGCAGGAAGTGAGCCTGGCCAGCTGAAGCAGGGAACTGGCTCAGGCAACTTCACCCTGGTCCGATGATCACAAAGCAAGAGACCCAAGAACTCGAAAGGTGAGGCTCACCGAGCCATATCCCTCCACCCTTCAATTAACCCCACATGTGTTTATTGGCCAGGTTGGCACAATAAACTACCTACCTCAAGGTCCATATTTCTAACCATTTTAAAGAAAGATGGCCTAATAGAATGAGAAAATTATAGAGCCAATAGCATTGCGTAAAAGTGACATTTTGCTAAAGATCATTCAACAATGGTTGCAGCAGTACATTGACAAGGAGCTGCCTGAAATTCAGACCAGAGTTAGAAGTAAACTTGGAATAGGGATGTCTGATGGATCTTAACTGAAAGCAGAGAATACCAGAAAAATGTTTACTTGTGTTTTAGTGACTATGCAAAGCCATTCAACTAGATCATAATGAACTATGGGTAACCTTGAGAACAGGGGGAATTCCAGAGCAGCACATTGTGCTCATGTGGAACATGTACATGGATCAAGAGTCAGTGGTGCAAATGGAACAAGGAAATACTGCATAGTTTAAAATCGGAAAAGGTGTGTGTCAGGGTTGCACCCTCTCACCATACATGTTCAATCTGTATGCTGAGTAAATAATGAGGAGCTGGACTCCTGTTAAGAAGAAGTCAGCATCAGGTTGGAGGAAGGCTCATTACCAACCCGAGATAGGCAGATGACACAATCTTGCTTGCTGAAAGTTCGGAGAACTTGAAACATTTGCTGACGAAGATTAAGAATTGCAGCCTCAATATAGATTACAACTTATTGTAAAGAAAATCTCCACAACTGCACCAATAGGTAGCATCATAATAAATGGAGAAAAGAGTGAAGACGTTTTCAAAAATTTCGTCTTGCTTGGATCCACTATCAATGCTCATGGAAGCAGCAGTCAACAGATCAAATGATATATTCCATTAGATAAATCTGCTGTACAAGACCTCTTCAAAGTGTTGAAAAGCAATGATGTTCCTTTGAGGACTAAGGTGCACCCGACCCAAGTCATGATGTTTTCAGTGAACTCATATGCATGTGCAAGTTGGAGAGTGAATACAAAAGACCAAAGAAGAATTGATGCATTTGAATTACGATGCAAGTGAAGAGTACTGAAAGGATCATGGACCACCAAGAGAACAAGTAAGCCTGTCTGAGAAGAAATACAGCCAGAATGCTTTTTAGAAGCAAAGGAGACTTTGTCTCATTTACTTTGGACTTTTTATTAGGAGAGACCGGTCCCTGGAAAAGGAAATCATGCTTGGTAAAATAGAGGGACAGCGAAAAAGAGGAAGGCCCCGAACAAGATGGCATGGCTCAGTGGCTAGAGTGATGGATTCAAAATCACAACCTGCGGGGATGGCAGGGTTTGTCTTCCATTGTGCATGGGACCTCTGGGAGTCAGCCCCAACGCAGAGGCCGCTCACAGCAGCAGCAGCAAGGCCAGAAGTGTGGAACCATCATGTGCCTCTTTGAGACACTTCTCCTTGCTACTTTCATTGTCCAGAGCCACCAGACTGACTTCGTCAGTGATGCACGTGGACTTCTGGAGGGGACTCAATAGTCTCTAAGAAGGGCAGGAAGCTGACTCCACCAGGCTTCTTAATGTGTGAGCTTGGAAATCCTGGAACATTGTTTCCTCTGCATTGTATTAACCAAAAGGGAGGGCTAGAGGCTCCAGCTCTTGAAGGGAAACTCTGCCTTGCCAGGATAGGAGTACTTTGGGGCCACCTTGAGGATCAGCTTTCCCAGACTGCCACTGCATTTACTTAAGGTGGGGCTTCAGGGTCTGTATATCTTACAAGCATTCTGAAGGATGTGGCTCTAGGGGACTTTCCTCATGTAATGGAGAGTAAGACCTTTTTAATTTATTTCTTTTCCCGGTATCTGTTACCCCTAGCAGTTTAACTGTAAAAGAAATCCAGAAAGAGGCAAAAGGAAAGTCTTACTTTTCTCCCTGGATTTGAATCATCCATTGTTATTTTGATTAACCCATAGCCCACTGCCTCAAGCTGAATCTGAAAGCAACTGTGTATAAGGTTTCAAGACTCAATCTCAGGAGCAGACAGCTTCATTTGTCTTTTAAGGAGCAGCTGCGTTTGAAGAACTGACCTTGGGGTCAGCAACCCAACACCTAGCACACAGCACCATTATCATGTATAGTTCCAGACTGGTTGTGAAATTGCTGTTGTTACTGCCAGCCAGCACTAGGTAGGGTTAAAGCCAGACTCCATGGCGCTAAGGAGCTTGCTGGTAGTGAATATAGCAGCACCTTCTCACAGGAACAGGTGTACTTCCTGCACTCAGATGAGCACTCCAACCTTCAGGGCCCCTCAGGGGTCATGCTATGGCTTGGCTTTGGTGGTCATTTCATGGTCGGTTTGGAAAAGACTGCAGATCTGGCTGCCTCATCTGGGCTCTAAGAGAAGCTTCCTGACTTTACAGGGTGGATATCTGGAAAGAGGAGGCAGCTGGGAAGCCCTCCCTCAGAGGCAAGAATAGTTGATGTTGGGTGAGGGCTAGGGCAGGGTAGAGCCAGTGAGAAGAGCTCTCCAGGTGGCTTGTGTGTGCTGTTGCAGTTCCCTGGGATCTGAGTGTACCCTGCTTCCTCCCCGACTCCTGCCCCCTGCATACACACAGGCACACACCCACTGTTCTTTATCACTGGACCCTGGTGACCTTTGTCAGGGTACTGCATTGCCAGCTCCCCGTGAGACCATGAGCCCCACCGATTGGAGGCTTCATTCCATTTTATTTTCTGGTTGTGTCCCCAGTGTCTAGCAGAAGACAAGGCACAAGGCTAGCATTAAATGAATCAAGTTCATCATTACAGAGTGTGAATATTTATCCACGTACTGTACTCTTTATTCCAGCAAATATTTATTGAGCATTGGCTCAGCCAAGATACTGGGGATACAGCAATGAATAAAATAGGCACGCATTCCTGACCTCTTGAGCATCCAAGAAGGTGGATGTGTACAGCATACAAAAGAAATAAGTAAAGTCTCTCCTAAAATGTGATGAATTCATTCTGTGGAGAAAAATAGAGCAGAGAGAAGAGAGGCTGTAATGGCGGTGGCAACCTGAAGTAAGATTGTCCAGGAGAATCTGAGTGAGAGACTTGAAGGAGCCAAATTTCAAACTATTAATAAGCATCTATGGATCTATTTCTGGAGAAGGACTTCTAGAGCTATGCAGCATCCAGAACCACATGACAGAAAGGGTACTATTTGTGTATGTGTACACAAAACTTTATGCATTTGTGTGATGTATGTTCATGGACATGTCTGCATGTTTATGTGCATGTCATGTGTGTTCATGTATTTCGTGTGCACTACTTGTTTGCATTCATGTGCATACATGCATGTGTTTATGGTTGCATGCATGTGCATCTGTGTGTGAAGTATATGCATCTATGCATGTGTATGTGGTATATATGTGTACTGTGTTTGTGTGTGTGTAGCCTGGTGCTGAGGACAAAAGCCCTCAAATTGACCTTCATGGTTTGAATCTGAGCTCTGCCACTCTAGCTATGTGATTTAAGGGACATTTTTAACCATTTTGTGCCTTCACGCTTCATCTATAAAATTGGATGCATCAAACTCATATGGTTCGTTTGGGGATTAAGTAAATCCAGATCTACAAGACATTGAGAACAGTATCTGGATTGCACCAGGAAGCACTCGCCATTGTTATCCTTATTTCTTTAGAAGAATGTGGGATTTAGTTGTTACTTCAAGTAATTCTCTCTTTTTGTCTCTCTTTTCAGGGAGGTGAAAAAAAGAACAGATGCGGATGACAGCAAATCCATTACCAACTTGACAGGAACCAAGAAGTCAACACAAATGAAGAATTGTTGTAATGGCTAAACCCCAAACATCCTTGACCTCTGAAACCTGCATATTTATCATGCTGAATTGATGTGACCTATTTGATTTTACATACAGTGGTGTGGTCTTTGACCACTATTATATGTAGAGTTACAACATGGAAAACCCCAAACCTAGGTTGAGTCTCAATAAAAGATTGTGCCCTCCGGTTAAATGCAACTGTTTTGCCCTGACACAGTGAAAAAGAAAAGTCTACATCTTTTTAAAGCGGTAAAACAAACACAAAACACATGCTCAGATAAAGTTGTAAAGAAACTTGCTACAGTAATTGGATTCATGTAGTACCTGGATTTGTTTGGTAGCCTATGGCAACACGTGCTTAGAATATTTGATGCTAAAGTACTAGTAAACAGGGATCGACCGCCTGATTGATAAATAGCCCTGTGTCCTTTGATGGGCGCCCATCCACGTTAGACCTCTTTCCTCCTCTGAAGCAAATGACTCAGTCTGGAAGTCTACCCTTTCTGAACCCTAGGAATGAATGCTCAGATTCCACTGGGCGTGAAGCAGAAGGAACGAGAGAATGATGGCCAGTTGATAAGGACTCTTGATATTTATGAATTTTTTAATATTGGTATATCAATTGAGTTTTATCATTGCTTAAATAAAAGCTAAAAATGGTATTGTTTCAGGCTTCTGGGAATATAGAAATATATTTTTTAAATATAAAGAAAGCATTTTTGAGACAAAAAAATAGTTGTTTATGTCAAGGGAAATTTAAAAATATCAGAATAGTAAAAATCCAAGATTTAACATAAATCTTTGTTTGGTGAAAATATGTACAGCCACAAAATACTGAAAGTTCTTTGCTTGAAGAGATAATACCACTTAGTGGTTGCCAGAGGCTGGGGAGCAGGAGGGGATGTCTCGTCATGACTAATGAGAACTCAATTTCATTTTTGGCAGGTGAAGAGGTAACAATGGCTGTACAGCTTTGTGTCTGTACTTAAAGATCAGTAAAAGGAAAAATGTATGGTGTGTTAATTATATCTTGAAGAAAAATAAACTAGCACTTAAAGCAGGTTAATTTTGCCAAAGTGAAAACATGCATGCTTACTTCAAACCTTCCCACGGTTTAAAAGTCTCCACTATAATGCAAATCCTGAGCTTCCCAATCTGTCTGATGAACTCTTACCCGTCATAAACGAGGAAAGAAAATGTGAAGTTTGGTGTTTGGACAGTAACCTGTGTAAAATGAAGTGGCCACTGATAAAGGAATACCAGAGTGCTCCATTAGTACTCAGAGTCTTGCTCTCAGCCCTCCTCAAGGGGGACCGAGACACCTGCTGTCATTGACTTGAACCAACTTTATTAATCACAGCAAGAGATTTCACTTAACTCTCTTCGTATAGGCCCGGGTCCCCGGTGGCTTGCTGTAAACGCTTAAATATCTGTTATTTTTATATTACAGTTGCTGCCCAGTTTGACTCACAGTGACCTCATGTGTCTCAGAGTAGAACTCTGATCCAGAGGATTTTCAATGGCTGATTTGTCAAAGACCCATGGCGGTCTTTGAGGACACAGCCTTGTGGGTTTCAACCCCTCACCCTTTGACTAATAGTTGAGGACTTAACTGTTTGTTCTAGCCAGTGACTCCCTTTGATTGTATTATACAAGTTCATGTAAGCTAAAAATGTTCTTCTTGTTGAAATAAGACAATTCTATGGAGGGATCCTATTTGTTTTTCTTATGATCATAACTTAAATTCTCCAAGGTTCATTTTTTATAATGAAAATTGACCAGATAAGTCACACAAAGCTATTATCAATAGCCACAGCATCATTTAGCTTTTAAAAACATGCTTTCTCTCTTTATTGTGGCATTAGGATTTTTAGTGTTACTGGGAATTCGAGTCTGTCCCTAGCACTTCCACCATGAATACCTAGTTCATAGTCCTGGAGATAAAGATTACTCTTTTCCCAAAGTGGATGATGGACTTTGTGAGGTGTTAAAACAAATGGGACTGAGGAGTGGTGGCTTGTGGTCTGGTGAGACAAAGGTTTGCTACCACTAATGACCTTAGTAGTATCTCTGGAGGCCAAGTTCAAATGCAGCTGATAAATGTATTCATGTGAAAGACACAGTCTTAGTATATATGTTATCTTGTTACCTTTATTTATTTCCTCCTGACATTTTTCTTTATAAATTATTTCACAGTCTGTAAATAAGAGCATACATTTGATACACAAGTATTATCTTGCCTTTGCCTCTGAATTGAGCCAGCACATTCAAATTAATTGTAGATTACATAGATGCTTACAGTGGACAAAGCAATCATGTTTAACTATTTAAATTAGATAAATATTTTTTGGCAACATAATCCAACTAGAGATCGATAGCTCTGGTTAACTTTTGTTTGAACAAAAACTTCTTAAAGCTCTTTAAGCTACATTGCTTAGAGATCATTACCAACATTTTGATTCTTATGATGTTCTCAAATTTAGGTTGTAGTTTTAGCAAAACTAAGAGTATTCCATGTCTGTCGCTTAGATTTAAGTTGATATATTTGCATATTCCTTTGCTAGTAATTACCTTGCCTTTATTTCTCTTTTGAGACCTTTAAACTTCACAAGTATGCTACAATCCTGTTTGATTTGTTTTGACTTCATCATGGAAAAGAATGTGGGAGAAAGAAACGTGTTTCCCTCCTAACGTTTAGCCCCATGCATTTTCTTAATTTATTTGATCCCCTTGCTGCCTCCTATGACATATGTGACATTTGATTATTTAATGCTAAGTGCAATTTGCATAAACCCAAGTTACACAACCCTCCTGCTGAAGATAAAGTTGAGGTTAAAGATAAAGATTTATGTTCCTATTTGTACAGCTATTGGCTTCAGAGTGATGGTTTTGTGAGCTTTTATTGTATATGTGCATAAGAAATTTAATATGTATATAGAAAGTAGACCTCTGAGTATTGAGTAATTGTTTTATGACTTTGATTTATTCAGTTTACATTTTCATAGTATGGGCCATATTTCGTTTATACTGTTTATTTCTTTTCAAACCATTAATAATTATACCATAAAGTATAATTTTATAGCAATGCAAATGTCTAAGGAACTACAAATTTTTTTCTGCATTGTAAATACAATAAAGCTTGCTTCTTTTGGCCTTTTGGGTGTTTCCTTCAGCTTTTTTTTAGGTATCCCTGAAGTAATTTTGATGCTAGGATGTGTCTGTATTAAACCATATCTTTAAAACACTTGTTTTTCTGGCCTTGGCTAACTGCCTGGTGGGAGCAAGGAATGACAGAAACCTTGAGATTAGGACCGTGATGTGCACAGCTAAGGCCCAGCTATGCCTTTGTGGCCGGCGTCCTAGGTAGACCAGCTTTGGCATGACAGCCCTCAACAGTAAAGTTTTGTTAGAGAAGTTTGAGGGTGTTCTCTGGTTCCCTTCATAACCTCTGATAGGTTAGAGCTTCACCTAACGCCCACCACCCCTCCCCACCACACACACGCCACTTAGTTGTACCCTATTCATTCTCCCATTTTAGCTTAAATACAACTTCCTCAGGGAAGCTATAGTTGATCACATAAAGAGGTCATCTCATCAACTGGGGAGCATGGCACTTTTGATAACGTCAGTTATGCAGCAACTATGCAGAGTTCCCATAGGCTTCTCAGCTCGCTATTTGTCCAGTTAATGTGCACTCTGTGCCTTCTGTAGTCTAGTCGCTTGAAGGATTGTAAACAGATTTGGCCCTTGAAGGAGTTTACCACTCCTGGGATTTTACATTCAGTGGGATTTCAGCAGAACCCTGAGAATGCGTGTTGTGTGCATATGCGCGCGCACACACACACACACACACACACACACACACACACACACAGCAAGCCATAGATAGTTAAACGAGCTCATGGTCTACCATAAAGGATGTCTATGTATCTGTGTAGATACATAGTCAAATGATTATGTTAGGCTGGGTTGTCTAGAAAACACAATCAGTGACACTCAAATGTGTGTAAGAAAGAACTGTGTACCAAGAAGTTACTTCAACCCAATCCAACTCAAGTGGATGGGTCTGATAACTCGCTGGGACCCTCCTCAGATTCACATAGCTGCAGGTCAATGGCGCAGAAAGGGGAAGCAGGAAGCGGGGATGTAACAAACTGGTAGGTACAAAGACATGTGGATCCAGGGTTGGTGGGATCATGGCTGGGCACCAACAGCTCCCAAGGTCAGTGGCCCACATGGGGCCACCCTTGGAGTCAGATATCAAATCCAAGAAAGGAGGGAGATGAAGGGCAAGAGAGAGACACCTCACTACCTTTCAAAAAGGCCATGCCTCCAGGGAGGCATTATCAGGCTACCAGCTGATTGGTATGTTGAACTTCACCCCTACCTCTATACAGGTACCTCAAGTGGTGGCAGGCACCATCAAGTGGACATAAGATCTAACCACCACATGGCTCTAACCAAAAGGTTATCAGGCCAAACCAATCATTGGCTTCCAAGAGAGCACAGCCTTAAAAAGTGTTCTGAGCAGAGCTTAAAGATCACTCACAGTGTAGGAACACCAGCTCGTGCTTCAAAGATGGCTCCGACAACTAAGCAGGCACTCCTCTATTGCCTTGCCTGCCTTTCTGCCTGCATAATACACCCTTCTGCCAAATATAGCCAAGCTGCCAGAGCCAGCCAGAGGCACTGTGAATACTCCCTACTCCCTCTTTCTGGAGCTTTGATTATGTTAGCATCAGGGGGTCTTGATTGCTCTCCACTCTTGGATCAGCTCTCCAGTATAAAAGGGAGAATGCTGGCCCCCACCCCCATCAATGGGATTTTTCCTGTACAGATGTTGCTCATTGTATGAAACAATGCTCTTCATTTGGGCCTGAAAATTCCCAAATATAATAAATTAGTGACTCTCAGATTAGCTCCCGTTGAATTTGGGGGTTTCCTGGCACCCATCTGTAGAGAGTCTCCCTCGTGGGGTTGAGTATATGACACACAAGTTGAATGATTCTCAATGTTCTTGGAGAAAAAATATCTCAGGACTTTATGAACATAATGTGTACCTAACCTTTGTTACATGAAACTCTTTCTTTTGCCCTGACTCACTGAGCTTAAGTACTTGGAGATGGGTGACTGTGTTAATCTGGGTTGACTAGAGAAACAAATCCAGTGATAGTCATATATGTATAAGAAAGAGTTTTATATCAAGAAATCATCCCAGTCCCAGCCAACTCAAGTACGTAATTCTGATACGTATCCAGAATTCTCTCTTCAGACTCATGCAGCCACATGCAATGATGCAGCATGCAGACTGATCACAGGCAGGTGAGTTCACAGTCATACGGATTCAAGGTCAAAGGAAATAAGTCAGGGCTCTGACAGCTCACAAGATCAGCAAGTAGGAAGAGGAAAGAAACCAGAGAAAGGGGGAAGGCCTCCCACCCAGGAACAGCATCAAGCTGTGATGGGATGGACATGTTTGACTCCACCCCTCGCCAGGACTATGTAGTTGAAATAAAATTTTATAACTACCACAGTGACTATAATTCTATGAGTGTTCTGCTTCAAATTCGAGTTGACTCTTTATGGGATAACTTTATACAATAAGTTTGGAATTTTCCCATGTGTAGAAATACCTCTGTTATTTAAGAGGGCTCCAGACCTGAAGGTTATGCTAACGAACTGATTCAGGTAGGGGTTGGACTGGCCAGAAAGACTACCTTGTGATTTCAGGACAGGGTTTATTTTTGTGTTTTTTTTAAATCATTTTATTAGGGGCTCATACAACTCTTATCACAATCCATACATACATCAATTGTGTAAAGCACATTTGTGCATTCATTGCCCTCATCATTCTCAAAAGATTTGCTCTCCACTTAAGCCCTTGGCATCAGCTCCTCATTTTTCCACTCCCTCCCTGCGCCCCCCCTCCCTCATGAACCCTTGATAATTTACAAATTATTATTTTGTCATATCTTACACTGTCCGAGGTCTCCCTTCACCCACTTTTCTGTTGTCCGTCCCCCAGGGAGGAGGTTATATGTAGATCCTTGTAATCGGTTCCCCCATTCTAACCCACCCTCCCTCCACACTCCGGGTATCTCTGACCCCGGTCAGATGTGGAACAGAATTGGGAACAGAATTGAATTGCATTGGAGCAATTTGACAGCATGGTTTGGTGGCAGAAAAGTGGGACGGGGAATTAGATCTCTCCATGAACTACCTGAATAGTCCTTGCGGTGTTAGAATGTCTATGGTTTGGGTAGAGTTTTTATCCCTTAATCTCCCTCCCTCCCTCTCTCTTTCCTTCTCTCTGGTCAGGTACAGAAGAAGGGGCGAGCAGGCCAGGGTGCTCTGCTTCCAGGTAAGAAGGGAAGTAAGATATGACCTGGTTGCTAGTAACACCACCGTCAAACATCCTTTTCTTCATAAAATATCAAATTAAATAAGATCGCTACTAAAGCACTGACCATCAGGTTCTTAGTTATTGTTTTTATAAGTAGTCAATTATTTGTAAACACTTAGTAAATTAAGCTTCAGTCTTAGGGAAGAAGAAATGTACATATGAATGAGATATATAAAGAAATATATCACATAACAACTCGTTAGAAGAAATTCAAGAAACTTAGGTGAGATATAATTTTTTATCCTTCCCTGATAAGATACTTGAAGTCTTACGAAAATCTTTCTTCAGACTCACTGTATTTCTCCCTTCCTTCATTCTTTTTTTTTGTTGTTGTTGTTTTTAAGTATGCACTCATTTATCTAAATTTTCTTTAGTCATGAAATATTTAGAATTCTTGCTTTGAGGTGTGTGTGTTTGTGTGTGTGTGTGTGTGTGTGTGTAAAAGGAAGAGGCTCAAACAATGATTAAGACCATCTGTGCCCTAAGGAACTCAGCTTTGAACAAGTTCAGAGCCGCG